ATTTTTCAATTTCAATTTTAATTTAATTATTGTTTGGTTTTTTTTTTTGTTTTTAGTTCATGGACGTATTCCAAATTTTCGAAATAATCCAAATTGTTCAATGAATTTAGCACAACTTGAAGAATTTCAACGGGCACGTGTTATTGAAATTTGTCCAAGTCTTGCTCAAGAACATTTACGTTTATTTTCATTATCTGAAGGTAATTGAAATTTTTAGTTACAAAAAAAAAGTTTTGTTTGTTTTTTTAATATTTTTTTTAGGAAAAGTAGTTCTTACTCCAGCACCATCTGTTGGTAATGCACTTTTTTATAAACTTGATCCAAAATTTTTACATGTCCAGGATTTATCACGTGCAGCAACAAAATCCGGTATAAATTTTCTTTTTTAAATGAAAAAAAGAAAATATTTATAAATATTTTTTATAGGTGCAGCTGCTCTTGGTACCATTGTTAATTTAACAGCTATTGGAAATCTTCATGTAGATATTTTTATTGTTGCTTCTGTAGTTGCTAATCCAATAAATGGTGCTCGATTAGGTAGGAAGAAAAACAAAACAAATTTAACTTTAACAATCATTAGAATATAAAAAAAGAAATTTTTTTTCGAAGAACGTCATCAACACTTTATTATTAATCAGAATTATTTTAACCTTTTTATTTTTCAGAAAATATTTTTATTATTTATTAAGTTGAGAAGACAAATAATGTGTTTTCTGAAGTGAAATATTTGAGTAAAAACTTAATTTTGTCTCTAAAACCAATGTTTGATTTACAATTGTTATTACTGACGAGACAACTATCCCCCAATTGAAACTCTCTATGTGAGTTCATATTGGGCTTACAAGGGCGGCTCAGTAAGACTAAAAAAGACCTAAAAGAGTTTGTCTCTATGGGCCTTTGAATCCGAGTTATGATCGTTCAACGGAAATTTTGTTCAAAGATAGTTCTAATTACGATTAAAATATTCTGAAAATTCCCCCTGAAAAGAAGTTTACTTTCTCGAGATATTGTATTTCTAGAAAGAATATTCTTTTTGCTTGAAACTTTCAGAATATTCTAAGGGTTATTGGAACCATCATTAGACAAAATTTTAGGTCGAAAATTTAAGAAAACAACTGTAGCTTGACTCCAAAGACCCGTATATATAAACCTTTTTAGACTTTTTCTAGTCATATCGAGTCCTCCTAGTGAACTTGATATTAGCTCAAGCGATTAATTACATTTAGTATAGGTCCCTCGAGAGTGGGGGTGTCACTTTTGCGTTCCGTTCCTTGGGAATGAAACGCTGACACTCCTACTCGTGGGTGGTAATATGTCTGATCGATGCATTAACATTAGATGTAATAATATGTAAATAATATTCTATGAAATTTTCATTTTGCAATAAAAATATTAAGAATCATTCTAATACAAATTCAATGTATAAATCAACCATTATAGAAAAAAACAAGTAATATTATCGTGTATGTTTAGTTCGTCAATCAAAATTCTAAATTGAATATTGATATTGACATCGTTATTGACTTTTCTCTTGAGTATTGTGTTCTATGTCGAAATGAAGATCGATATATATGTAAAGCAATTATATTTGTTCATTTCAAGTACAAGAGTTTTACCAACGATTTCCTATGAGTATCGATAACATACGCTTTAACATACTCTGGACGCCGTTTTATGTCAAACATATATCAATCGATAGAATTTGAAGTTTGAAGTCTACTAAACCCTACTCTGAGACAAGAATTCAAACAAATAAACTTTCAGAAAAATGATGTTAGATGAAGTTGTGATAAATACCTGATGATTTTTGTCAGTTCAAAATACGTATGTAGCAGAGCTATATTTGACTTCATTTTCTAAATATTTATTTTGTTGAGATTTTGGCTTAGAGATGGGTCATCCTAAAAATTTCTTGCTTTTTATCTTCTTGATATTTTTTCCAAAATGGCTTACAGTGGAATCCAATAGACTTAGAATATCAAGTTCTGTCGACTGATATATTGTTTTGAGTAAAACGGCGCTTAGAGTGTATTTTACTAATACCTATTTTCTCATATATTTATACATAAGAAAACAAAAACAAGCTTCATTTCTTTACTTAACTTAGAGAAAATAGATTTCTTTAACTTTATATGTCGATTATGTGTTATTCAATATTATTCTTAATATCTAAAATGTTTCTTTTTTGTAATACAAAAGTTAAAAAGCATCCATCAATAAAAAATGATTTCGTAAATATCTAATTCAGATAGATTTTACTGTTCGTAAAAACAAAAACAAGCTTTTATTATTCATCTAGGTAAAGGCAAAGGTTATGGTGATATTGAATATGCAATGATGCATCAATTGGGTGCATGTAATGATAAAACACTTGTCGTTACAACTGTACATGAAAGTCAATTACTTAATGATCTTCCGGAATCTGTTATGACTGAACATGATTTGTATATTATTTAATTAATCTTTTTCCTTTGTTTTTTATTTTTAATTGATTATTTAGATCAGTGAATATTATTATTACACCACAACGTATAATTTATACTCAAAATAAATTTTCACGTCCAAAAGAAATTAACTGGAATGATATTGATAATGAAACAATGCTTAATTTACCTGTATTAAAAGAATTTCAACGTCTTCAAAAACTTCAAAAATAGTATTTAATAAATCACTACAATACACAAATAAGAAATCTTTATTCTTTTTTTACAATACGTATTTTCAAAATAATGTGTATATTGACTTTTGTGATATTTTAATGCGCTTATTTTATTTTTCTCTATCGAACGAGACTGTCGATATAATAGTGAACAGAACAAAAAAAAACTAAACGCAACCAACCGAGTAATAGATAAATTAAATATGTTATTATTATTATTTTTTTAATTTATTCCCAAATGATATATAAAATTTCATATTTTCCTATTTTTTTTCTTTTATTGATATGTCTTGGACATGTTGTGAATTCGATCTGATTATTTATTCCATAAAAAGAATAGAACAGATCAGATATAGATATATGTATATCAGATCATTTGTTTATTTACACGAAACCAGATATATCAGCGATGATGAAAAAAAAAAGACATGGTTTCGCTTAAAAATACTGAATGTATTTTATGTTGTTTGTCTTGGCTGTCTGAGCTGATATAAAACTTCTATTTTCTATTATATTTATAATTTTTTTTTATTTTATTTTAGAAAGAAAAAAAAAACTTTTTTTTGTACATGTTTATCTTTTGCTTCAAAAGGCAATTGAACATGCTGGTATTATAATTAGAATCGTTGAAATTATTATTAAGTAGTAAGTCTTGGTTTTCTTTTTTTTTTTGTAAGAATATAAGACTTAATTTATATATATATATATATATATATATATATATATACTAGTTTGTAGAATTCGACAAAGTGCCACCATTAGAAAAAGAATGTAAGTGTTTTTTTGCAAGTAAATAACAATAAATAGTAGAAATTAGAAGAAAAATAATAATAACGTAAAAAAATGAAGAAAAATGTACATAAGTATAAGAATATTGTGGAATATTTTGCATTGAACGTTGATAAAATTTTTTATGAAATATTGTTTGATTACTATTATTAATATAAATATTATCACCACATAAACTAAGATGATTTATATTTGATTCTAATTCATATTTAATAGATAAACTTAATTTATTTGTCCATTTTTGTTTATTATTTAATAAATGTTTATTTTTATAAACAGGTAATGAAAGACATAATGGAAATGATTCAATTTTAGGATAATAATAAAGAAATGCTTGACACATTTCATCATTTGAATTATAACCACCATAAATAGCTTGAGAATAATCATAACGTGTTGAATAATAACATATTAATGTAAGTTCATTTGTAGAATTTATTTGTGGATAAGGTTTTTTGAAATAAATATTTTCTTGTTGATGATATTTAAATGGATTTTGATCAATTAATCGATTAAAATTATTATTTTCAAGAATTATACGAGTTGCACGTCGATGTGCATGAACAAGTATAGAAAAAATATTTATAACAAATTGATTTTTAAGAAAATATTTTAAACAATCATTAAAACAATACGTTGGAAAACGTATTGTATTAAGACGTGGAGGAAGAAATAATGATGAATGAACTAATGTACCTAATGTTAAAATTCCTATTTCATATTTAGGTTTTTTATCTAGAGGATAAAATCGTAAATGTATACCAATAGAATGATTATATGGAATAGATGATTCGAAATGAACTTCAAGTAGAAGTTGTGTATATGTATTCATTTTTAATCCTGTATCAGTTGGATAATTATAATTAAGTTGACCACCTTGAGCCCATGCAATTATAATTCGTGTTTGACAATGATGATAAACAGATGAAGGCATGAAATGAGCATTATACATCCCACACAATCCCGAATATATAAGATTATCCTTGATCGAACATTCATAAAGAAGTAAATGATGAACATTACCTGTATTTTCACCATTTATTATATTATAACCTTGAAGAAAAAAATCTTTTGAATTTTTTAATTGATGTAAATGACACAGATAAAATGATGAGGATGAAGATGATGTTGAAAATGATTGATTATTCATAATAAATGATGGAAGTAAAATATCTTCAGATAGAACATATTTAAAGAGAAAACTGATTGAGATTAGATGAATAGGTAAGAACATTATTGATCAAATGAATCAAATAGTCAACCTCTTTTATTATCATCTCATAAAAAAGCCATCAATATATTCTTTCGTTTCTTTTTTTTTTTACATCAACATATTTAGCAGCAATGATGAAATTATATGTACATGGTTTCCTTTAAAAAATTAACCTGATTTTAATGATGATTGTCATGGCCTCTGAGCTGCTTTATACCTATAAAGACAAAAAAGAAAGAAAACTACGACATTCTATTGAATAGATTCATAATAGACCATAAGTTATTTTTTTCGATAAATGATTATTATTTTCTATGTGATTTATTGACAAATAAAAATAAACCTAAAGCAATAGCTTTGGATATTTCTGTCTCAAGAGATATACCATCAATGTCATGCTTAGTAGATATTTTCTAGATAAAGTCAAAGACCTCCTTGATACAGTTGAAAGTATATTTATATATATATGTGTATGTGCCGTACGCGTACATGTAAAATAAAGACAGAGAACAACAAGGTCAAATTTTCAGTGTGCTCTCTTCTTCTTTTTTTTTTTATATCTAACATTCATTTATTGGCGGTTGTCTTCACATTTATAGTAGGCAAACAGGTTACGATGTTAGATGAGATAAAAAATATATATAACAAAAAGACCTCGTTCAATGCAAGTATAATAGACTCTTATTCGTATTAAGATTAAAGTGCTTCATTATCAAGAAAAGACTATTTAATAATGTTATTTTTATATTGTAACCTAGATAAAAATAATATGGAAAGCATTTTTTTGTTGTTTTAAGAGTTAGAGATAGCAAATTGATAATAGTCCTCGTAGATACTTTGGTGAGTTTTGAATTCTTGTAAGAAAAAGAAAAAAAAAAAGAGACAAGATAAAATGTAATATCAATCTCTATCAGACTGTCTTTAATCATCTAATAATAAGAGATAATCTTAAATACCATGATGAAAGAAAATATGAAATTTGCCTTTAACTACGCGGACACTTTTTTCATATTTTTTTTTTGCAAATATTTGACATATTTTACTTGACAATGTTTATCATATATCTTAATTAGATGTTGACAGACTCATAGTTTTCTTTTTTCGTTTCTTTTTCTATCCTAATACAATTCTTGCCTAATCAATCATCGCATCTTTTTTTTCTATTGTTGTTGTCTTCTAGACTCGATCAATGGAATCTCATTTATTACTATCACTCTTCATAATTGTATAAAAAAAGTGAATAAATATCAAGAAGATGTAGTTATGTATCAAGCAAATATGTCCACCGAACGTCGACTTTCAGATTTACGTAATGTAGTCAGTGGTCTTTATACATTAGGTAAGTTCATAGAAAGAGAGAGAGAGAGATAAATATCTTATTTACATTTTTTTTTGTTTTATATCAAAAGGAGCAACAATTGGTACAGGTCATTTTGCTGTTGTAAAACTTGCTCGACATGTTTTTACACAAAAAGAAGTTGCAGTTAAAGTTATTGATAAAACAAAACTTGATGATATATCAAAAGCTCATTTATTTCAAGAAGTTATGTGTATGAAATTAGTTCAACATCCAAATGTTGTTCGTTTATATGAAGTTATTGATACACCAAATAAACTTTATCTTATTTTGGAATTTGGTGATGGTGGTGATATGTATGATTATATTATGAAACATGCTAATGGTCTTAATGAATCAACAGCTCGTAGATATTTTCGACAAATATGTCGAGCACTTAAATATTGCCATGAAATGCGTGTGTGTCATCGTGATCTTAAAGTAAGAATGAACAAAAAGAAAAAAAAAGAATTTTTTTTATCTTACACGGTATATAAATAATGGAATGTAATATTTTAAGTGCATAATGAAAGACAAGAGAATTTCAATAGGATCTAAATATAGAAAAATAAAACGATAAATGTCTCGAGTACAATCTTTCTTATTTAATAGATACTAAAAATAAACGAAGAGATTTTAAATAGAAAAGAAATCATATTTGAATTTTCTCATATGTCTCTATTTTAATTAGTTGTATGTATAATTATTTAGATAATTCTCGTTTAGATTATGTTTTAAATAAGATTATAGTTTATATTGTTAATGATGGAAATAAAAGTAATACATTTAATATTGGAAATATGCAAAGCTATTCATTTTACTAATTCATGTCAACTGATATAAGCAAAAGACTTTGCTACTGACAAGAGAAATTCTTCAATTGATTAATCGTTTTGTTAGTCGAAAATAATGTATAGCATGTAGATTCTAATGAGTTATGAATTCCTAAATAGAGTTCGTATGGCTGCCGAGATATTGCATTTTTACCGTATTTTTTTTTCAAATTTTATCTTGAAAATTTTCACAGAGGTAAACCTTAATGAGAATAGTTTATCATAGATCTTTTCGTTATTCTAATCTTAGAATATGACTATGATAAAATTGTATCTTTTATATCGCTCAGAAGATTCATGTATTTTTATTTCAAGATAGGAACAAATTAAAAGATCTGAAACTTTCACAATAATCTATTCTTATGAAGATATATCTCTGTGTAAAATTTCAAATTGAAATTTGAAAATTATTTTTTCCCGAAATTTTCGATCGAGAATTACAGCTTTAATTGACAAAAAAATAATACCATAAACATACAATATATCGATAGCACTAAGCTAACAGCGTAAATTCTTTTCAGAGTATTCATAACTCATAAGGTCTTACATACTGTACATTGTTCTAACTGAGAAGCAATTAATCAGTTGGATGACTTCTCTCCATGAGTCCTTGAGTGCATCGTATCATTGATCAATCTAACAAAAAAAAAAAAACAAAGAAACGAGCGAAATATATGATTTATTTCATTAATCAATTGTCTATGATTTTGATACATATGATCATAAAGTAATCACATAAATGTTATTCTTAAAATTTTCTTCAAAATAAAAAAAAACAGAAATCATAATTAATTATAAAATATTTTCTTTGTTTTTTTTTCAGCCTG